TTTTTTTTTTTGAAAAAAATTTTTTTTTTGAAAAAAAATTTTTTTTTTTGAAAATTTTTTTTTTTTTGAAAAAAATTTTTTTTTTTGAAAAAAATTTTTTTTTTTTGAAAAAATTTTTTTTTTTGAAAAAAATTTTTTTTTTGAAAAAAATTTTTTTCAAAAATTGTTTTTGAAAAAAAAAATTTCAAAAAAATTTTTTTTGAAAAAAAATTTTTCAAAAAAAAAATTCTTTCGAAAAAAGTTTTTTCAAAAAATTTTTTTTCAAAAAAAAATTTCAAAAATAAAATTTTGAAAAAGAATGTTGGAGATGGAGCTACCAGGTAGGAGAAAGAAAGGAAGGCTAAAGAGGAGATATATGGATGCAGTGGACCAGGACCAGGACCTGGACATGGACATGGACCTGGACCTGGACCTGGACCTGGACCTGGACCTGGACCTGGACCTGGACCTGGACCTGGACCTGGACCTGGACCTGGACCTGGACCTGGACCTGGAACTAGTCCTAACAAGTAAATGGAACAAACTGAGCCCCCGGTCACATAAACAGTGACGTGGACGGACCTGTCGTGGTCAGAGGTGAGTCACAGGGTAAACTCCCACCTCTGACACCGACTCCACATTCACATATATTTGACGTTGATGTTTTTCCAGTCTTTCAGTTCTTGGTTTACACCCAACCCTCCTACTTACGCTCCACCATGTCGCCTCGTACACATTGTTTACTCAAAACTGTCTCTCATCAGCTTAAACTCAGACCAGTGGATTTCTGGCCCGGTTTCACTAACGGAAAACTTGACTGAACTTCCAGCAGAAAAGCCGAAGAAAAATGGCACTTATTACAAAGTAGAGACGGAGAGCCCTGCCCACAGCAGCAGCAGCAGTAACAGTAACAACAGTAACAACAGCAGCAGTAACAGTAACAGTCTGTCAGTGACTACAAACCGGCCGATGAACGTCAGCACATTTCAAACCACAGAATGTCTGTAGCTCGTAGCGGTGACACTCCACTAAATCATGGGGTTCGGTTCACGTGAGTGCACAGTGACCTCGCAGCTCTCAGAACCGACCCCATTCATCCCTAATCAGCATCTCCGGGCCGACGAACACAGAGACAGAGACAAATGTGACGGCGTGTGAAGTCACAGGGCGGCAGAGCTCGAGGAGCGTTGTCACTTTCTGTTGATTAATCTGCATTAATAACCAAAAAGAAAAAAACAAATCTGCAGAGACAGAACGCGCTGCCTTCAAAGCCCCGAGTCAAGGCTGCCGTCAGCCCAAGATTATTATCTGTCAATAAAACAAAGCAGGCAGAGTTTGTTTGTTTGTTTCTCTCTCTCTCTCTTAGTGACAAACTGCCAGAAGTCGGGGTTTTTTTCTGCCCACTTTATAGGAGATGATATGTGAACACAGATGTAGATCTGCGCTGCCTCGGTCGACTGCTCTCAGCTCACCGAGGCCCAGACGCTGCGCGGAAAGGTAATTCTTCTCTGACACCTAATCCCACAGCGACTGTTGAAGTGGCAGTGACAAATGAAGAAGGCTGACAGACTTCACAAACACTGAGGAACACAAATAAATTGTATTTATGTTACTAATGAAGGGTGAGGGAGGGAGGAAGAGAGGGAGGGAGAGAGGCCTCCATTGAGGGCCATCTGTGTGTGGAGTGCTCCATGATGGAGGCCGTGGTCGTCGTCGTCTCCTCGTTTCTTACCATTTGCAGTAAATAAGGGAAACATAAAAGGCTGGGAGAAACTCTGTGACTAAATCAGCGTCACCACCGGACCTGTCACACGGACCTCCAGTCCCACCCTGACGGACGGCCCTTATTTCACAACCAAATAAATGGATTTGGTTCAACCACAAAGAGGCAGTGAAAACTTTATTCCCAAGAGGGAAGATGTGGGAAATGGAAGGTGATAAGAGGAGGGTTTGACGACACGCTAATTTTCCCGCTTCATTCATACTGTATTTATCACAGCTGAGTGAGTCATAGTGATAAATAGAACCTCCGCAGAGGAACCGTATCTTACAAATATGTCATGTGGCAGCAGCCAAAGCCCCACGGCGTTCATTTCTACAGACTTTGCTGTATTTTATTTTTCGTGGGTTGTTTTTTTTGCCTCCATTGAGAAGCAGGGAGTGTTTAATTGACACTGTTTCAATTTCCTGGTATTAACATGTTGATCAGCCTAAATGGGCTTTGAGCAAATGAGAGATTGAAGATGAAACAAGCCGTGGGTTTGTTCATTATGACGGTTAATGAATTTGAGCTGAAGAAGTTTAACGACTTTAAATGAAAGCATTAAGAAGCGTCTCTACTCCAGCGAGGAAGCAGCTCCCAGGCTGGATCTTTACAGGCTGGATCTTTACAGGCTGGATCTCTACAGGCTGGATCTTTACAGGCTGGATCCTTACAGGCTGGATCCTTACAGGCTGGATCCTTACAGCCTGGATCCTTACAGGCTGGATCTTTACAGGCTGGATCTCTACAGGCTGGATCTTTACAGACTGGATCTTTACAGGCTGGATCCTTACAGGCTGGATCTTTACAGCTTGGATCCTTACAGGCTGGATCTTTACAGGCTGGATCCTTACAGGCTGGATCTCTACAGGCTGGATCTTTACAGACTGGATCTTTACAGGCTGGATCCTTACAGGCTGGATCTCTACAGGCTGGATCTTTACAGGCTGGATCCTTACAGGCTGGATCCTTACAGGCTGGATCCTTACAGGCTGGATCTTCCAGCTCCAGTTTCAGTGTGACCACCAGCCTTCAGCCACAGACTGATCGTCCATAGCAACATAAATAAACACACTCAGAACAGCCTCGCTGCTCTAGTGCCAGGAATGCTAAGTTTATGGGACATTAGGATTGGAAATACAGTTTGACTAAAAAGCCCGAGGGGAAACAAGTGGTTATCAGGTCCACGACTCGGGCTGACGAAGCCACCTGGTGGCAGACAGTGACGTCGAACGTGTAAGACAATTGGATTTTTACTATAAAACTTTAACAAACTGGGTCTTCACCAAAATCAAACTTACGTCTATTTACAACCTCTAAATGAGGGTTCCCAACAGATGGCTCCTGACCCAAAAGTGGGCTGCATACATACCTGGTAAGGTGTGCAATCTTTTTACAAAAACCCATAAACAGATTGTAGATAGAGGAAGAACCAGTAGGTGGCAGCATGAAGCATAAAAATGTAAATAAATGATGCCACTCATCAGCAGAGAATGACTTTTGGAAGTTACAGTGAGGTTTGGACTGGGCATTAAAACTGCCAACTATGGCACCCCCTGCAGGGGAGGAGGAGGTAACAAATAAGTCACTGTTGGTAAAAAAGCAACAAACCAAACAGCTTCACCCTGAGGTACAACATTATGTTCTGTCTTTGTCTCCCTGAAGACGGACGGTTTGACAGAGAGGACGTACAGGACGGAAGGACAGAAGTCCAACTGGGACCGTCCATCACTGGGCCACACACACAGACAAAGAGCCGTCCACAGAGTTAGAGGACAGTGGAGTACAGAGTACACAGTACACAGTACTCAGCCAAATACAGTATGACTGACACAAGGACCGGGGATCGAACTGCAGACCACTGCTGTAAGGCAGGAGCACTAACCAGAGTCAGGCATAGTCATTTTTACTAAATACTAAAAATAATAATTAGCCTTAAAAACATGGACCAAACTGGAGGATCGTATATGTTAAATACTCTTAACATTCACTATAGAAAAAGTACTGACACACACTGTTAACCACTGGTCAACCTACACAACAACTCACTGGTCAACCTACACAACAACTCACTGGTCAACCAAAAACACTCCAGTATAACTGACCTGTACACTCACCTGTTTTTCTGCCTATCCTTGTGCCCTGACCTTTGAACTGCCCTCTGACCCCTGGCTCTGTCTCCCACACAGTCCACTGGACCAAAGACTGAAGACCGACTCCTGGTGTCGTTCAGAGTTTGAAGGGACTGAAAGCTGAGCGCTGGACTGAACTCTCTCTCTCCGTGTCTCCTGTGACTGGTCGACTACATGTCTCCACTCGGCTGTGATGCCTGGACGTCTAAAAATAGGAGGCAGGATTGTAAACTAAATTTAAAAAGCCCCCCCACCTCGACTGGACGCATGGAAACTCTCAGACCTGAGGTGTGGTTAATAACCAACATTTAGACCAGATTAACGCCTCCAACGTTCACTCCGGCTGCTCCTCCTGCCGGTCGTTTGATATCCGTGGTCAAACATGGTAAAAGTGCAGACAGCTGGCAGCCCAAAAACATTTTTCCAAATCCCAAAACTACCTCTGTTAGAAAACACAGTCATTCCCGGCCCGGCTCCAGACACGTGAGTGAAGAGGAAGAAGAATAAGAAGAAGAGGAAGAAGAAGAAGAAGAAGAAGAAGAAGAAGAAGAGGAAGAAGAAGAAGAAGGGGGGAATTAACGAAAAATGAACAGTAGGTCAAAGGTGGCGGAGACGGAGGATTTTAGCTTCATCTGAGGGTCGGGGGCCAGGGAGGAGTGGGAGGGGAGGAGTGGGAGAGAAGCGGCTTGTCAAAGAAACAGAGAAACGCATGAGTGTTGTAAAGAAAAGACAGAATACTCACTGTTGTGTTGTTGAAGCTGATCAGTCCTCAGTGAACGGAGCCTGAGAAGCAGCAGCAGCAGTAGCAGCAGCAGCAGCAGTGGCAGCAGTGGCAGTGGCAGCAGCAGCAGCAGTGTTGAGCTCCTCACACGTCTGTCAGCCACTCAACAGCTGTGAGCCATAAATTTCTCCCTGGAAGTGGCCGGCAGTGAATCACCACGAGACGGCGCTCCCACTCCCCCTGACTCTCCCTGTGGCTCCTCAGCCGTCCTGCAGACATGTGGGATATCAGAGAGTGAGGAGGAGGAGGAGGAGGAGGACGTGGAGTCCACGGAGAAGGAGGAGAAAGAGTGGAGTTAACCATTGGTGGAGATGTTCAGTCTCTCTCTCTCTCTCTCTCTCTCCACGAAACACAAACAAGGAGTCAGAGTGAAAGGACATCAGTGAGAAGGGTTGTTGTCCCCCCCCCCGGCCTCCGTCAGTGTGAACTTGTTGAGGAGAGGCGGCGGACACAGAGGATATTAAAAGGCTTCGTCTCAGACACTAATAAAGACAACAGTCATTTATTGACTTGGCAGAAATGTTGCATCCACAATGGCCCAGCGTGTGTGTGTGAATCTCCCAAACACACACTCACCGGCTCAAAGTGTTCAAACGTATATATGTATTTGTGAAGGATTAGAGATGAACACCTTTAATCTGATTGGTCGTAGGGCAGCTGTGAACTAATCTGAACTAATCCTGATTAATTCAGATGAAACAACGTTTCTAAACACAGCGACAAAAACTAATCCTAAACTATTGAGGTGGAAAAATGTCAAGAAATAGAAACAACTACAGGTTTGTAGAACCCACGGATGTGTTTCCTCAGGGAATCGAACCCAGGACCAACCGCTACACCACAGATCCAATGAGACAATAACTCTGGGTGATTTCATGTAAATAAAGTGATTCAACTCAGATCTTTTTTTTCTACTAGGAAAAGATTTGCACTATGTTATCTCAGGAAACAGTAGCCACCAGAGGGTGCTGTTCTTGGGTTAATGTCACGGCAGCCTCCACAGCGTTCTGCTGACCCCTGCAGGAAATACATCACAACGGCTGAACAGTGAACAGACACTGAGCCTCATGTTGAACCACAGTCAAACATTACAACAGTGTTATTGCTTTCTTATACTATCTGTCAGTTTA